TGGCCATTGGCATGTTTGTTCAGCTAGTGAAGGAACTAGATTATTACCTGTTATTTATATTTAGTGGTCTATAGTTAGTTCCACACAATAATCATTTTGGAAACGTGTAATTTTTTTTTTTTTTTCCTTCAGACCAGTTAGCGAGAAGCTATATATGAATCATTTCCATCCTTTTCGTTTTTTTTTTTTTTTTGAACTTAAGAGTGTGATAATAATGAAATTGTCTAAAATAGTATTCTATCGTTCAGAAAAATAGTCTAAATTATTAAGCTAAAACAATACGATAAAATAAATTTTTTTTTTAGACAGATGGAGTAACATAGACTTATGACAGCTTCCTTCATATTTCATTCATGCAATCTGAAAATAGCTCGTGTAGCTACTGGTCATGAAAACAGCATCATTTGATCGGTCATTTAAAGGGATTTTTTTTTATGCGCTTTCAGAATCGTCCCTCAAAAAGGGTTTGAACTTTGTGAAGAACTTTAGCAATAAATATTCATCTTATCTAGATGGTTTTTGTCCAAGTTGCTCTCCATCAAACGCTTTCACAATTAATTATTAGCAACAATAATACCATAATAATATTCATTCAATTAAAAACTTTTTCTCTATCAGCACCAAAATTCACTATTTTTTCCTTTTTATTTTCTTTTCCTTTTTATATATTAATACACCATCTAATGGTTGAAATCACAATCTTATAACAAATCACCACCAAACATTTTCATTAACCAGAAACATAATTAAACTGATCTAGTATATTTATTACGTGAACAAAATACTTGTTGGATATTCCCTCCGTTTCGAAGTTATTATCTAATTTGGATTTTTATTTTTAGTACAAATTGAATTAAACGTGAAAATCTAAACTGAATAATAATTTTAAGACATGGAAAGTACTTTTGGCTTCTTAAAATCATAAACCGCCGTTGAAATATCATTCACAAAGTAAAGATTTGAAAAAAAGATGCATGAAAAAAGAAGCTTTTTGGATTGTATAGTGCAAAAAATCCGACAATTTGCGGGTGATAATTTTGATAAAGTTCCAAGAAATGGACAAAATGGCAATTTAGTAGAGAAAATCAAGTAATGTGGCCTCACATGAGGTTTCTTCGTCCACATGCGCCTCTCCCTTTCCACCTTTGTACTGAAAACGTCATTCGCTGCTTTTTCACTTTGGGGAAAAAAAAAAAAAGGTCCAGATTTGTGATTTTCAGAAATTCAGATGAGGCTGAGATTTCACTTCGGCCCACATGGCTCCTACCCTTAAAAACAGCCCAAAAACAAGCCATGATCTTGTGTTTAGATTTCTGGTCCGATTTATTTTCCCAGTTGTTTATTTTCTCGGCCCCCGTACCATGGGGTCCATGACTTTGTTTCACCAATTAATTATTTTGCTGATGATTAAGGTTTTTTTCTTCCTTAAACAAAGAAAATGTAATTTATGATTAATTTGGAACATTACGTATGTAATCCTCTGGAAAAGGAGGAACGAAAAAGTGTTGTTGGCGAGACTTGAACTTCCAAACAACTCTGACGTAAGGATCTTTAAAGGAAAAAAAAGGTCCGACTATTGTTGATTTAGTGAAAAACGAATTTTTATATTGGACTAAAATTCGATTGTATCGATTCTTGTAGAGTTATCTCAAACTTTTACAAGTGGCTTCGAAATCTTTATTTTTATTTTATATTGTTAGAAAATCCAATCATTAGTGCCACTTGCTTTAAGGTTTAAGGCTTTAGGGAATTGAGCAAATGAAAAGACTTGTTATATGTTTATTTCATTTGTTAATCGTGAGAGATTGTGAATCTTACCATTAAATAATTCAGTTGGACAAAGAACTCCAATATACGTTAACAAGATGTTGGATTAGAGTATGTTAATTAATTTGCACATAGATACTTATACTCTATTTCAATAAAATAATCTGGTTGGTGAAAGTTTTATTTTGTGTTTCCAGTTGTAATAGTTTAGTAACTAATTTAGTGACTAGTTAATGATTGTATTCTCCCGTCAATTGTTTTGTTGAACGGTTTGTATCAATCAGAGATGGCTGAGTTCCAGCAATCGTAATAAAGTTTCTCTCATTCAAATTCTTTTTTAAAAAAAAAGCGACGAAACTAACATCACTTCAAAATTAACATAATCAAACAATTTCATACGAGAATGAAGTTTTTATATAAGCGTACGTGTGACCTTGTATGTTAAAAAACAATCCAAAAGTGGCGTTTCTATATCAAATTTAACGTAAGTACCATTTCTGGTTAATTTCGTCGTACACTAGCTTCTAATTTGTACATTATAAATGGGATTCAGATTTATAGAGAGTCTTAATTATGCTATCATTCCAACTCATTATGCATGCTAGACAATTAACTATTGTTGCATGTGAAAGAATTATGAACTTAATAATACGTCGGTAGCATTTATTTGAACTCATGAATGCAAACCTAGCCAGCATGCACATGGCATGTCATTTAGCTATGCGAAATTACGTAAATTGTGAAGCCTGAACCATAATAATGCAAGTAAAGCTTTATTTGAATATTTTATGAATAAAAAAAATAATAAATATAGAGAAATAGTCATTTTGATACTTATTCTCAATTTCCCATCGCTCCAATCAAAATAAAAAATTAGGTTACCTTTTAGAGCCTTACTCAATAAAAATTTCTCTATTAAAGTTGCCAATTACTTATAATTTTGATTGATTTCTTCTAATCATATTATTATACACATATAATTCTTCTCCTTGTTTGAAGAAATAAATATTTTTAGGACAGAAGAAAGGATGGTGGGATAAACACCTCTTTAATGAATTAAAATAAGAAATACTAAATGCAATAAAAGTTAATCAAGATGTAAATATTTCAAACTATTTTGGCTAACTTTTATATATATATATATATATACATATACAGACAAGAGTCAGGAATAGTGGAATTATTGTTCAGAATCCATCTATTTATTCAATTATCAATTGATTTAGAGCAACCTCAATGCAAATGAAGTTAAAAATAGTCTTATACAGTGCACATCAGATTCTGTGGCTCATCTATTAAAAAGTTTTCTTTTCCATGCAATGGGAGTTATCAGATTGTTTATTATATGGTCCACCATTATAGCATCTCTCTTTTTTTTTTTCTTCTTCTTTTACTATCTATAAAAAATAATTAGCCCACATTTAATTTGTAATAGTAGAACACTCGAACTTTTTACTTTTAACCCTCTTTAATAATAGGAAATTGTTTGAGCAGTAACTGACACATATTTTCATGCTAATTACCAAACATTGAGCTTGCTCTTAAGCTTTATTGAATCTATAAGTAGTGGTAACAGCTAACAAGCATGAGAAAATGAAATGGATATGCTTAGCGAAATTTCTTGAAGGAAACTATCTAGTATTATAGTAGGAATAGAAAAATTGTCACGGTGCTCGATGTTACCTCAAATAGGGAATAGAAGCCATGTGACCTGCGACCTTGATTAGCCTTTTTATCCAACTTCCACCTGTTATATGACTATATCCTTCTCCTACAGTCCTACTAGTAAGGCTACAACACTCCAAAAATTACACAAACTTTTTGAAAAATATATAAGATTTACAAAAAAAAAAAAAAAAAAGAAAAAAAGAAAAAAAGATCCTTAATTATGGATAGTAGTACTATATATATATATAGCTGCTGCAAGGTGCAAAGGATGCACCACATATTTACTTCTCATAGCTACCGTTATAGACTTCAAATGATGGTATCTCGTTGCTTCTTCTTGGCTCAATCGATAAAATAATGCATGGAATTTTTTCTATTGTTGTTTTTTTTTTTTGAACGAATAACGCATGGTATGTGTATATTTGAGGAAATCGCACATTGAATTGTCTTTGAGGGACAAAATTTGTATATTCCAAATCGGGAGAATTAAAAAGGTTCATTGATTGAAATGTAACCACCACATTCCCTCCACATATTATTTCACACTCCAAAAATAATGATCATTTTAATACATATTCTGTTTTGAAACTGGAATTCTTATTTTTATTTTTATCGATGTTACATTACATGAAGGAACTATATAGCGGTCGGCTGGTCGATATGACAATGCCAATAGGCCATCATACAAGAGAGCAAAAGGGAAAATCCTAGCTGAGTCCTAACTCATAATTCATAAACCATCTTTTACAAAGTATAAAATAAATTTTCAAAAAAAAAAAAAAAAAAGTTCGAATCAACCAAATTCCCAGGAAAAATGAATGTACAGTGGTGAGAGCACTTATCCCAAAATTGGATTGTAAACTATACCGTTCACCAACTAATTAAGTGGCTAAATTAGTAATTGGACAAAAGGTTTCTTTCTTTTTTTTGTTAAAAAGAAAGTGTGTAAATGCCTAAATTTATATTATTACATTTATAGGGTATGATATCCAATGAGATCATGTTATAACCACATTTTCACCTCCTTTGATAGAGTTTGTAATCATTCCATTCCTCCAAAATCTTGAAATGCTAATGTTGTCAGATAGTCGGCTACAAAATTCACCTCTCAAAATATATGTTTAATTTACACTATCCAATCACGTTTCAACCACTATCAAACCACGTATACAATCTCAGTATTCATCCCCACAATATCCTTCCCTTCTTTGACATGGAAATGATGCTCATGTTATCTACCTCAAGAATAACCTTTCGACCACCCACTTCCTATACCGTCGCACCATTAGAAGAACATATAGATTGTGTAGAGTTTTTTTTTTTTTTATTTTTCAATCAGTTATTTTTTCTACTTTTTCTTGTGATAATAACAATAACAAGTCTTTTTCTCATTAAGTGAGGTCGTTTATATAGATCATATGTCGCCATCATAAACAGTGAATAAGTCATCGTCAAATTTATATAGTTTAAATATTTTTGTAATTTCTTTTTACGTTTTCTTAGACTTATCCCTACTTTTTTTTTTTTATTTTACTTTTCCTTTAACAAAACTGTGTTTTAAATAAAAAAAATCCCATCAATATTTTCGACTGCCGACTAAAATAAATTCAACACAAAAAAACAAAAACGGGAAAGATGGGTGCCAATTTGTTTGGATAGCAATGAAAATTGAATGAAAGCTGAGGGTATATGAGGAGCAGGACATGCATAAATACCCCCCCACATTCAGCTTTTCCATTCGACTCATCGGCCTGACGCATCCCTTTCGTTTCTCTGTCCATTTTTCTTTCTAAAAATATACATCCAATTCCGAAACCCTTTCTCAATTATTATTATTTCACAGATTAAACACTGTTTTACAATGAGAGCTGTATTATCACGGCTCACCATAGCCATATTCTCTGTACTACTTTTGAGCTCCACTCTCCACATTGCTTCTGCATTCACTGATGGTAAGCTTCATTTTAGTTAAGACCCTTAATGCTTACTTCACTGAGTTGATTTGTTGTTTTTTTTCTTTTTTTTTTTCTACAACAACATGAAGGAAGAACATTCGTTTTGCGTTTCTGTGTGATGCTTACTCCTTTAACTCTTGATTTTGGGTACAATAAACATCATGTGGTGGCTGGGATCTTCCGTTCTTAGTTTGCAAGCAAAAGGTTCAAAATCTTGTGTTAGTATATAGCAGTACTAATGTCAATTATTACATTGTGGAGTGGTTGGATGACACATTATTGGTTGTCAGTGTTCATAAAGATAATAAGAATCTACTATGCAATCAAAGAGTCATTTACCCTTTTCATCTTATTTTTTTAATATATAGTTCTGTATATGTTTTTGTTTTGACCAATATAGCCTATATATTACTTTTTTTATTCTAAAATGATTGTCTAGCTTGAGTGTAACATATAATTTTCCGAGATAGATAGATTGAGTATATAATTTTGGTAATTAAGTGGCATATGTAGGAAACTGTACGGTATACCCTTTGAAACTTTGAAGTAGAAAGTTGAAGCGTGTATTCGTTAACTATGCAAACTAGTGGTTCTATTATATGGAATGATAATTCTCTACACAATTAGTTAATTAGGCACTATAATAATTTAGTATAATGTTTTGATAGACAAATTAAACCCAAGTACTGACCACTGGGGGGACCTAAGGGAGGGTGCAGAGCCACATGCGGGCACATTGAAGAAGGCTGAAAGGGTATAGGTCATTTCATTCAGACTTCGGTATTTGCCAATTGCCAGTCTTCGGTGTGGTTCAGGGATGACTCATAGACGCAGACCTGTGTCCACTCTCCACGTGACTTTTACGTATTTAGTTATCCTCCCTCCCTTGGCCTGAAAGCGCCACATATTTGATTTTTCTAATTATACATTTCCGACCCAAAATAATCGTTCCAATATTTGTATCAGAAAAATAATTTATATTGTATTTTGTGATATCTAATTTTTTAACAAATTAGAAAATTCGACTTGAATTATTATTATTTCTTTTGAGACAAAGAGTACATGTCTAAGTCAAAAGATAAAATTTGTCATCAAATAACTAGCTAGTCTAACTATTATTATTATTCTGTTCATCAACATTGTAAAACTATGAACTTTTTTCTTTTTTCTTTTTTGGCATGTCATTTGGGTTTTTTTTTTTTTTTTGAGTTGAGATGTGACGATTGATAATCTTTTCACTAGTTTATTAAGTATAAACAGATTCTGAAAGGATAACATTTGTTGAGATGGTTAAAATAAACAGATTCTGAATTTTCATTTTTGAGTAATGATACACATCTTGAAAAACACCAAAATGCAGGATTAATGGAGAATGGCAACTTCGAGTTAGCCCCAAAGAGCTCCGACTTGAAAGGCACAGTAGTACTAAAACAGAACGCAATCCCAGGTTGGACAGTAACCGGATTCGTGGAGTACATAAAAGCAGGACAGAAACAGGGCGACATGCTCCTCGTCGTCCCCGAAGGCTATGCCGCCGTGAGGTTAGGCAACGAGGCATCCATCAAGCAGAAACTCAATGTCACCCTGGGAATGTACTATTCCATCACCTTCAGCGCCGCCCGAACCTGCGCTCAAGAAGAACAGCTCAATGTTTCGGTGGCGCCCGATTTCGGTGTTCTTCCGATGCAGACGTTGTATAGTAGCAATGGCTGGGATTCGTATGCTTGGGCATTTCAAGCTGAGTATAAAGAAGTTGAGATCCTTATTCATAATCCAGGTGTTGAGGAAGATCCCGCTTGCGGCCCTCTTATCGATTCCATCGCTCTTCGTGCTCTGTATCCTCCTAAAGCCACTAGAGGTATTGAGTGTTTAAAAAAAAAAAAATCGTTCCTACTTCATCCGTCCCGAAATTATTATCCAGTTTGAGTGTTTGTTTTAATAAAAATTAAACTAAAATGAAAATTCAAACTGGACAATGATTTTGGAACAGAGCTAATTTGGCTAAAAAAAATGTTTTACATTTTGGTCTAATAAGCTTCTTAAGTAGTCTATTTTGGTTGTTTAGCTGGATTGATGTGAGACAGAGTCTCTAACAGAACATATTGATGAATGATGAACATGAACTGCCCTGTTTGGTGGTTTTATTTATGATTTCACAATAATTGGTTACAAAAATCTTGCAGAAAACTTAGTGAAGAATCCAAGTTTCGAAGAAGGGCCATATGTATTTCCCAACACAAGTTGGGGTGTACTAATTCCACCAAACATTGAGGATGACCACTCTCCCCTGCCTGCCTGGATGGTTGAATCCCTTAAAGCTGTGAAATACATCGATTCGGACCATTTCTCAGTGCCTCACGGGAAGAGGGCCGTGGAGCTGGTGGCCGGAAAAGAAAGCGCCATCGCGCAAATTGTCCGAACCATTGTGGGAAAGACCTACATTCTTTCGTTCAAGGTTGGCGACGCCAGCAATTCCTGCGAAGGATCCATGGTTGTCGAGGCCTTCGCGGGCAGTAACACCGTCAAAATTCCTTACACTTCGATGGGTAAAGGTGGGTATAAATCTGCTGTGCTGAAATTTGTGGCAACTGCAACAAGAACCCGGATCATGTTCTTCAGCACGTATTACCACACGAGAAGCGACGACATGGCGTCGCTTTGTGGCCCTGTTATTGATGATGTTAAGCTGTTGAGTGTTCGTAATCCCCGGAAATTTGTTTGATTCAGTTTAGTATCTTATGTTTATGAGAGCTTTTGTATACTATAAGAATATATGGGGAAACTTTTCATCCTGTTTGGTTTTCCAATCAAGATGATATCTTCTCGTAGGAAAATACATAGAGTTTTCATGAAGCAATGATCACATAATCTTGCTTTATTTTGTTTGAGTGATCATCATCACGCTGTACTTATTAATCATTGCAGTCCTGAGTGAAGGAAGAAAGTATGTGTTAAAATAACTTGTTCAACTCATTAATGTCAGTTTCATTATCATCCATCATTTTCTATGTAGACTGTTCCCAGTATCTATAGACGACAAACTCACGGAAAACATAGCAATTTCTTATTTTCTTTCCCATCTTTGCCTTGAGATTCATGGATATACATCCTCATCGTGAGAAATTGTCATCCTCTATGCATTGAGACACTAAAATGCTTGCCAACGTTCTTTATTTTTCAAAGAAAAAAAAAATCCCTCTACCACATCTTCCGGTTTTCTAATTGCAGTTGGTGCCCTTCCAAAAACAAAATAATAATAATAAAAAAATTGCCATATTCTCTTACTTGAATACTTTTCATTTCTATTAAAATTTTATAAGAGATCATCATAGGTACTGAATAGGGGGTTTATTATAAATACTGGTAACTGTTCTATTATTTTGGAGTTTATTCTAATGGTTATATTTAGCTTGGGAGTTCTTAAATGATTGTTGAGATTATTAATCGGTGTGTGGTAAATATGATGAAAAATAAAGATAATGATATTGGGTATCAACCGTGGCTTTGTATAGACTATTCAAAAACTATTTGATTCTGATTAGACTGGTAGAACTAAGATAGTAAGACATGATTTCAACATTTCAATTTTAGAAAATCCGAGTTTGGGTTCTTTTCACTTTTCTCTCTCTAAAACTAAGAGCATCTCTCTCTAACTTTGAGAGTAACCAGATTACAACCTAGCCATTGAGCCTTTTATTCTTGTATCAAACATGATTAACAAACATTCTTGTACTATGGTTTTTAAATCTATTATAACGTAAACTGGTTGGGGGATGGTTTAGTTTCTGGATAGTGGAAACTCAAGGGTAGTCTTTTTCATTGTTTGTCCTTTGTTGAGTTTATCATGTGTCCTTTTCAGCAAATAGTTTATCTTGTGTCCCTTTCAGTACAATAGTCAAGGTCTGATTTCTCTGGGAGGTTTTCCCTTTTACTCTTGCTTGGGAATTTTGGGTAATAGTTTCCATGGACCCCAGATTCGTTGAGGGTTTCTGGTCAGATTCTACGGCATCCCCAACAGGATCCGAACATTCGGAGGAACGGAGGGATGGACCACTACCTGGGAATGTTGTTTCAGATCGGTCCACACCCTCCGAAGGGGCTTGGTGGTTCAGATGCCACGTCGCTTTGTGGATAGGGCAAATGAAAGAATGGAAAATTGTCTTGTGGGCTTTTTATTAGACTATCTCACTTTCAGTAAAAACACCATGCAGGAATATATCTCTTTATACTGGGACACGGGTATAACAGTGCTTAGGAAGGACGGGAGCTTGTATGTCCTTCATTTCACTTCCCAGAGACAAATGTTTGCAGTCCTATGTAATGGCCTATATGCCATTGCTGGAGCTCTACTCGTGCTTAGAAGATGGAGACCGGAAATGTTTTTCCGGCAGTTGAGGGTACATCATATTTTTATATGGGTCCAATTCGTAGGGGTGCCCATGAAATATTATGATGAGGATGTTGTTTAGATGATGGCGGGATAAGTAAGAGGTTTAAAGGAGGTTAAAGTAGGGAGTTTCTGGAACGGTCGCACTTTGTCAGCCAGGGTGTAGGTGAGGGTGGAAGACCCTTTGGTACCGGGCTTTTACTTCAGTGTAGCAGGAGGTGGGAGAGTGTGGATACAGTGTGCCTATGAACGCATACACAAGCTGTGTAGGCGGTGTGGAAGGGTGGGTCACACAATGCCCATCTGTCCTATTGAAGATGATCGAGAACTCAATCGTTTTCTCTATGACCACTTCTGCAATGATGCAGAGGTACTGGGTCTTCGGGTTCATGACGATGACAGTTTCAAGCTGTATACAGCGTCGATAAGGGCCCATCGTCATATGCCAAAGAGGAGGTTTACAAGGATACCCGAAAGTTATATCCAAGAGATTAATGTGAGATATATGGAAAATCGGGTAGGATGGGTTGCTAACAGCTTCCGGTATGAATTAATAGTAGCAAAGGGTTCATCAACTCCTCTTATGTTGGAATTTCAGAGAGAGGGTGGAAGTGAGGAGACGGATCGACACCGACATCAGCGCCCTCAACACTATGGTCAGGGGAGCGAGAGTAATCGCGGTGGGACGCAAGAAGAAGGCACTTCAGCCTCTCTGAGAAGGAGAAGAAGGACTGAAGGAACTGGATCGAGGAAGAACCGTGGACAGTATAATTGGGTGGTTGGTAGAGTCTCCCACTAGTCCCAAAAGAGAGAGTAGATCTAGTAGCAGGGAACAGGCCCAGAGGAGAACTGATAAGCCAGGACAGCGGGAGGATGGTATTACTACTAGTCTAGTGGATCTTTCGATACAGGACTAGGGGGAGAACATTCAAGGATACGGGCTTGGGGGGGGGGGAGGAAACAGATCCAGAATTTGACGGCGGCATGGTGGATGACCCGCTGGTCCGACTCCCATCGGATTTCCCGGTGGAACTAGATGAGGAGGATTTTCAATGGAATCCAAGGCCAGTGAGATTTTATGAAGAAGACGGGCAATTGAAGGAAGAGGAGGTAGTAAAGATCAACGGTCAAACTCAAGCCTTTCGAGAACCATCGGTTTCGTGGGAGAAATTTTTCACAACAGAAAATCAACGGACGTTATCGGAATGGTGGGAGCAGGATTTTTTCATATCGGCCGGTAGGTGGGAGGAAGTGGGTGAGGAGTTTAATGAGGAATTAAATGGTGATAATCATGGCGGTAGGGAGGGTGGCTCAAGGGGTAATAGGGGTCTAGGAGAGATTTTTGGTCTTGGTTTTCATATTCAAGAGCCATTACATAACTGTGGCTTACAAGGATGTGACATAGCGGAGCAGTTTACTGCATTAGGTGCAAGGGGTTTTAATGAGGAAAGGAAGTAAAAAAAATATTATTTTACAGGAGGGTTTGGAGGAAAAAGGGATGATGGGTGCCAGCGGGGATGAGAGGCTGGAGGATTTTTTTGGAGTTGTGGGAAGCTGCAAATGAAATTTGGGCCCAACACCAAAGTCCAAAAAAAGATGGGAAGGGGAAGAGGCCCATGAAGGAGAAAGGTATAAAGACTAAGGAATGAGGCTTTAAAATCACAGTGGGTAGCCCAGAAGCAGAAGAGGATGTGGGCCGGGAGTCGGAATCAGATGAGGAGGTTGCAAAACATGAATGGGCCTAGATGAGGAGAAGCAGAAATTAAGAAGGTTGATAAGAATGGGGAAGAGACATGTGGAAGAAGGAGATAATAAGGAGAAGAAAAGGCCCACGAAGAGGTCCCCTGTGGCAGCTCTCAGAGACTGGCCCGCGAACACTGGCCCAAATCTTGAGAGGAGTGTGGCCAAGATGGTGGGGGCCTGAGGAGAAGCGGAAACAGAGATAAGACAGGCCTAGACTGGGCTGAATAGGTAAACTGATATACATGGGCTTATAGAAAAAGAGCTAGAAGACTTTTTGTAAAGTAGGCCAAGAAAGTCAAAGGTGTGTTTATGGAGGTCATGTGCCAAGACAAAAGTGGAGGGGTGGTGGGTCAGGTACCCGGGTTTGATGCCAACCAATCCAATTTGACTCCAAATGAACCCGGGTCCACGATTGTGGCGGAGGAGGGACAATGTAGTGAAGACCGACGGTAGCGAACACCGGAAGGGGGACAGCCGATGGTATGTGCTAAGTCGGAGGTCGGAAGCAGAAGAACAGAGGGAAGACCACGACGTCGGAGAGAGAGCAAGATGCAGGAAAAAATGAGGGAAAGGTGGGCGCCCTCTGAACCTTTGGCGGCAAATCAAGAGTGGGACGGATTGAATGGTAGGAAAAGGTTGAAGAGGACTGCCAGCTGGCCTCCGATGTCAATCGGCCAGAAAAGGACGTGGAACGGAGATATGCATTTGAAGGGAGGGGGCGGAAGAAGATGGGGCAATTAAGGCGGGGCTGGACATGGTAATTCCTTTCACAACTCAGACGGCCATGTTAAGGAAGCAGAGGTTGTATGGGAGGATGGATTTTAATGAAGTTCATAGAAGACATATTGATGCTTAGTTGACTGCTGAAGAGGTTCGTCACATAATTGGCAGAGAGTCTGGGGAAACTTCAGATAGTGAAATAAATGAGGCGGAGGATGCTATCATTGCAACTGTGATCATTGCAGAGGTAATGGACATTGTGATAAGCTCTTTCAATCTTGCAAATGAAGGGTTGGGGTGGATGTCCCAAAATAGCCCCTAATGTAGCCATGAAGGTCTTCTGTTGGAATTGTAGAGGGATGGAAAATCCCTCTACAGTTCAGTTTTTAAGGAAAATAGTAGGTGTACATAATCCTAGCATAATTTGTTTATTAGAAACTAAAAGTACTACTCAAAATATATGTAAGTGGCTGCGCTCCACCCATTTTGTGAACTGGGTTACAGTAGACCCAGTTGGTGTTGGAGGGGGCATATGTATTACTTGGGACTATAATGTGAACGCCGCGGTGCATAATAAGTTCCAAAATTTTGTTTTATTAAATATAACTCAACTAGACGGAATAGAATGGTTGCTAGGGTTTGTCTATGGACACCCGAATCAAACAAAGAAGGGAGGTGTGGGATAGTATCATTAGGAGTTGTCAGGGATCGGGGAAAGGTTTGTTGTTGGTGGGAGATTTTAATAAGGTTTTGAAAGAGAATGAGAAGATGGGTGGGAAACCTATTAAAAAACAAGCGTGTCAGGAGCTAAAAAGAATGTTAGATGGATTGGGGCTGAGGGAAATCAGAAATCAGGGAATCTAGTTTACATGAGCAAACGGGAGGGAAGCGAATGAAGAGATCTTGGAGCGTCTAGATAGGGCGTTTGCGAACACAGAATGGGCTCACTTGTGGCTGAATGCTATCATGGAAAATCTACCTATAATGAGGTCGGATCATGGGCCAATATTGTTAGATTTTGTTCCCATCCTAAGAAGGAATAATAAGAAGATAAAATTTGAGAGTCTATGGACATGGTATGAGGCGGCAAGAGAGATAGTCAAAAGAGCTTGGGAGGTTGTGGATCGAGAAGAGGGAGTGAGTTTGGGCAACGGGTCTTAGGGAGACAAGATATCGTCATGCGACATCTGACAAATTGGCATAATCAATCAATAGGATCAATAGATAGGAGGATAAAGATCGTCATGGAGGAAATCAGAGATAAGCAAAGGAGAGGGGAATCGACTAATGAGGAATGCAAGCGCCTTGATGGGGCCTTGGAGGACGAGTACAACTACTGGAGCCAACGGGCAAAAGTCATTTGGGCGACGAAAGGAGATATGAATACTAGGCTTTTCCATAATTGGGTTAAGAGGCGGAGGGGAAAAAACTATATCTCCCAGTTAAGAAGAAGCAATGGGGATTGGATGACATCTCCGGAGGAAATCCAGGAACTACTAACACAACATGTGAAGGATGTGTATGTGGAACAGTTGACCCCAGATGTTAGAGTTGGAAACACATGTCCCATTGAGGAGGTACTGGAGATGATTCAGGGGAGAATTAATGTAGAAGAGGAAGATTTCTTGGTAAGAGAATTCTCAGAGCGGGAGATCAAGGAGGCAGTTTTCTCAATCGGCAAGTGGAAGGCACCAGGAACGGATGGAGTACCCCCGGGTTTTATTAGGAATATTGGGATATTGTAGGATCAACAGTAACATGGGCGATAAAAGAGTTCTTCTAAACAGGATTTATGGAAGAAGAATGGAATAGGACAGTGATTGTCTTGATCTCGAAGAAAAAGATGCCACAGGATCCGGGGGATTTTAGACCTATCAGTTTTTGTACAGTTTTGTACAAGGTGGTGCCAAAAGATTCTTGCAAATAGACTGAAAAAGGTGATTGGTGGTCTAATCTCTGATAACCAGGCAGCGTTTGCAGCAGGTCGTTGATAACAGAAAAATATAGACCTTTTTTGCATGCATTTCTTACTCATTTTTACTCATAATTTAGTGTCAATTAGTTAGGATTAGTTTACTTTTGGTGTAATTTTACAGTTCGGGTATCTTAGAGGGCCAATGTGGAAAATTAGCATAAATAAGGGCCAAATTGCACAAAAGGGTATAAAAAAGAACTGGATAGGAAGCTGCTAGAAATTGAGCTGCTAAAGGACTGATCAGAGCTGGAGCAAGTGGAGAAATCCTTGATAAGGAAGGAAGAATGACAGCAGATGATCACAACTTGGAAGAATCTGCAGCAGCACACTCCATTGAGTGGAAGAAGGGCAGCTACCTTACTGCCTGATTGCTGCTGCAGTAGCTGTTGCTGCTGTCAATCAAAGAGGAGACACTAGCTTAACTCTTGGTGCCCAAGGAAGGAAATTGTTTTGCCATCACTGCAAGTTGTTGCTGTTGCAAGTGGCAGAAGAGAAAAGGGGAGAATATGTGATAAGCAGAAACTGCAACTCTGCTACTTACCCACTGATGCTGTTGCTGAGTTGATGGATTGACTGTTGCAGAAGGATGAGCAATGGCATAGCAAGTGACCCAGGAAACAAGAAAAAGGCAGAAGGTTCAACTTCATCTGCACCAACCTCATACCTAGCTGACGCCGGAAAAGATAAACTATGAAGCAGCACTATTGCTCTATGCAATAGTCACCAACACACCGATCGATGCGGCTGCGGTGATCAGAGAGCAGATGGATATCTGCGCTTTCAACCCCAGGAGAAACTCCTGGTTCTTTCCAGTCCTTATTACCAAGCTCATGGAGCGAGCAAATGTACAATTTCTACCCACATATGTTAGAAAGGAGCTGAAGCGACCATGGCATCTGGAGAACCTACCATACCCCTCTTTGAGGGGATAAAACTACAATCACCCAGGGGAGTCTTTTCTTCTTTTTTTTTGTTTTTCTTTTCTTTTATCTTCTGTTTCTTTTTAATTAGGATTGTTTTTGTGATTTTCTATTTTGAGTCTATGCATCTAGAGTCCTTATGTTAGATTGAGTCAACTTTGTGTGATGATTTTTTGTTTTATAGTTGAATTGCATGCTTAGTATATGTGTGTTGTTCTTCCTCTATTCTCTATGTTTAAAAGAATTGGGGGCAATTCTTATTTTAAGTTTGGGGGAGGGATTTGTATGATTTATATGTTTTAAGGATTGACAGGATCAAATTTTGGAAAAAATAACAAAAATTTTTAGTTTGTGTGCAAACTGTGAACTAGTTGATGTATAAACAGTGTCAAAAGTCTATAATGATTCAACAACGTGCGGGAAATTTTGAAATTTTGAACACTTGTTGATTCACTTGAAGTCAGTACTATAGTTCTTCACTTTCTCCAACACAATTTGTCGTTTGCCAAAGTGAGAGTTCTGAACTTAGTGCTAAAATCTTCATGCCTATTTACATTGTTGTGATCTTATACTTGAGTCCACTTGTTTGAAACCTGGGGGGACTGTAATTCTAAGTGAAGACTAAAGCAGCCCTTCGCATCATGGCAGACTCTGTAAGAGCCCATGGTAGTCTGTAAAAGCCTAAATACCTTGGGAAGGGGAATGGTAAGCGGTTGAATTGAAAAAAAAAATCTGAAATGAGGGAAGTCAGGAAGATTGTCCAATGAGGCAGTAATACGCCAAAGTGTTTAGGTTTGGCAAATAAGTAGAGAGAGTCCTCAGGCCTGGTGAGGAAAAAAAAGAAAAACGAATAAAACTACCCTAAGATGCTGAGACACTGTGAGAAATCACTATAGATAATGAGTGGAAATATGCTCTAGGTGAAATGCCCTAAGTTGCTGAGCCACTGGAAATTGAGTGAAAATATGCTCTGGGTGAAATGCCCTAAGTTTCTGAGCCACTATGAATAGATAACTGAGTAGAAATATACTCTGGGTAGGGGCCTGAGTGGGAAAGATCCAGAAGAAAAGTCATATGCACAAAGAGAAAAAGGGTTGAGGGAGAAATAAGATGCAGCCAATGTTGTCGAAGAATCTGTGAGGATGTCCTTAGAATCCAAAAAAACTCAGTAAGAATACCCTAGTTGATGGCATGCAGGAAATAGGTACTCATCACAATAATGTGTATTTGCTCTTAAACTGATTAATTCTTAGAATGGATCATAGGTAAAACTTGAATTTTGGTTGTGATGTATGCACAAACACACTGAAGAACTGTGACACTGCTTTCCTGTAATGAATAATGGTGTATAATCTGTCCAATAAGGGACTTGAATCTGAGACTAACATTGATACAATGTTAGCATTTACTTCTGTTCATTTAGCCACATTCTTGTTCCATTACTGTCGTTACTTTTATCCATGAAAATTCAAAAAAAATATCACCTCTTCTTTCTGAGTCAGTCCTTCTGTGTCTAGGTCAGTAGGAATGTAGCATGAATTTGTTTGCCGGAGGATCCGTAAAACTCCGAGTTTGGGTCTGTTGCTTGAGGACAAGTAACACTTCAAGTTTAGGGGTATCTGAAAACAGAAAAATATCTACCATTTTTGCAGGCATTTTTTACTCATTTCTACTCATAATTTAGTGTCAATTAGTTAGTATTAATTTAATTTTGGGGTGATTTTTCAGGTATCTCAGAGGGCCAATGTGGAAAATTAGCATAAATAAAGCCAAATTGCACAAAAAAAAAAAAAGGTATCAAGAAAGGACTGGAATGGAAGCTGCTGGAAATTGAGCTA